GAAGAGGCGGAAGGGCAACCCCCGACACCATGGTCTTAAGTCTAGCTGCACTAACAGGGTGACTACTCTTATATGACTACTTGAATTAATATGCTCGACCCGACCAAAGGAATAGGAAAAGTAAGACAAATATAATGGAAAGTGAGAGGGAACAAAGCGAAACGAGAGAAAAGAAATCAAGATAGAAATAAAAAAGTGAAGAAGTAAAAAAGTAAGGAATCGAGTTATAAAATTGGAGAAGAATTGAGGAAAGAGATAAGTAAGAAAGTAAAGAATAAAATATAAAGAAATAAGGAAGTAAAGAAGTAATAAGTATAGGAAAAGTAAGACAAGCACAATGGAAAGTGAGAGGGGACAGAGTAAAACGAGATGACAGAAAGGAAGATAGAAGTGAAGAAGTCAAATGTAGAAAAATATGGAATAGAGTTATAAAAGTAGATAAGAAACGAGGAAAGAGATAAGTGACAAAGTAAAGAATGACGGATAAAGAATTAAATATAAAAATAGAAGAAGGTTGGAAATGAATATGAGGGGTATTTCCAAGAGACCAGTATAGGAGACCGGCTCGAGGAAGAATGAGCGCTCGGAGTCCGGGCCCTGCCTCGAGCGCCCCCCACCATCCGCCTGCTCCCACTCGCGGAGTCCTGAGCGAATAATTTGCGCGCGTACAATTTTTGGCAACTTCCAGTACTTTTAAATATGCTTTTCCAAAATTTCCGATTTTTAAGTGTTAATATTTTACATTATCGATTTAATGAATTATTTTAATGTCTGAAATAACATCTACTGAACAATTAATTAAAAATGCTGAAAGACACGTCGATCTAGAATTAAAACGCGATCATCAGCTCGATCCAGAATCCTTTTTAATGTACATCTAATTCGACTTTATGTCCTACGAGTCCCGGGTAGCTACGTTTGTACAATACGGAAGAATCTACCAGTTATTAATTACTTACGAAATTGATTGTCAATAAGACAAAACTGCTTTCGTCTTCCTAGCCTCGCTATACTTATAACTAATAGCTATTCTTAAACGACTATAAGTAAAGTTCAATTCATTCATATACTCATCTATTTACAATCTACGTACAAACAGTCTAATTCTTTAATTTTACTCAAAGAGACATTTCATTAGTGTTAGAAATTTTCAAATATATATTTTGTACATAAACTCTAAGCAGCCGGAATCTCAAGGTGGATTACACTTACTGATGTGTCTGATCGCAAATGATGTCTCAAGCGGCACATCAAAGCTGAAGAAAGAGTTGGAGACTAACAGGGACTGCAATCGATAATTCCATTCATCTTGAAAACTCCTTATTGTTAATTAGAGATTGCTGTTTATAGTAACCTATTCATCAAATCTACCGTTTCTTATTTCTATTTACCTTCTATTTTATTTATTTGCAGCACCTTTGATAGACGATTCCGCTTGTCTCTACCTGAAATTCATAGTTATTCAAACATGTAATTTTCTCTATTTCAATAAACTGTGCCAACACAAATATTCTTCGTGTGATAGAGTACAATTATTGCAATGTCCT